GCTTTTTTAGAAGTAAGAAAAGAAGTGAAATTTAAGACCACACGTGTTATTTAGCACAAAAGCTTGCTTGCAAAGGGAGGGGTGAATAATCTGAATTATTTTTCCTGTTCAAATCTTTATTTCAGAAAGGGACAATTAAACGGTAACAATAATTATCCACGATAACAATATAGCCTAAAAGAATTCAGTAAATGTTTTATTTTATTCATTTGATTCACAAATGCTTTAGCCCTTAATTTTTCTATTAAGATATTTATCTAGTTGAGGAAAATGGACTGGAAAAATATTTTACTTAATTTTACTCATAATTGTTCTGAATGTTCTGCCTTAGATTTGTTAAGTGAGCCACGTGTTTGTTCTGATTAAAACCACAATTAATCACCTGGTTTGTTCAGCTTTCACAAAAATCAGCCTTTAAACTCCAAAGAAATAATAACTTGACTTTTATTGTGATAATTATCGATATCGAATGATGTTTTTATCGTGATAACAGTTTGTCCATATAGAGTGAACTACATGTCTGTGTGTTGTTTGTACGCTCTGATAATGCTAATCCAACACATCTTTGCACATTCACGTCTGTCATCAGCACCGAAGCCCAGTATCTCCCCTGCCGTCAGCAGTGAAGAGCTTTACTGGCCCTCCTGGTCACACGCTGTCGTCCTCTGAAGCTCAAGAGTCCACAGCCATGCTGGCAGCTCTGTGAGGGTGTACTTGAGCTAAAAGCTTACATCAGCACGCTAACATGCTCTCAATAATAATAATAATTATTAGCATTAATTCCAAGTAGCTGAGGCTGATGGGAATGTTATTTGTTTTGCAGGTATTTGGTCATAAACCAGACTAGGGGAAAAGCCAGGGATCAGTAGATCCAAGACGGCGACTTGCCACTCGCTGCACGGAGCATCGGATCTCACGCCACCCGTCACAGTAACAGTTTGTTCCCTCAGGCAGTCAGGCTGCTGAACAGCCGACGCTCCCACATGCTCTGATCACTTTTTGTAAACAGCATGTAATGTTACAAGAATGATTGTGGGTTGAAAGTGTTTACTACAATACTATGTGGACTGTGTTCATTAATGTACACAGAGGATGAGAGAGCCGGGGACACAAGCGTTTCACTATACATGTGACAATAAACCTTTACTTTAACTTGGATCAAAGTGATTACAATAGATGTTCTGGGTACCATACGTCTGTACCGACTTGTGACACTTTCATCTGCTGCTGCTGTGAGAGGAAACGTCAGAGGATCACTGAATTCTGATAACACGATGGTACTTATTTTTCTTCAACGCGTGAAAGATGACGACAAGCGCAGCTGCAGAAACGGCTCCGCTTCGACTCGCCGTGTATGGAAACGATGGTGAAGTGAGGTTAATGTTTAACATTTGTGTCGGTGTTCGCGGCCGTTAACCTCAATAACTCTAATTCAGGCAGACGTTCCACAGTTTGGATCAGCTCAAAAACACACCAAAAGATGACGATGCAGTTTGCAGAACTGAATGTCTGTCTAAAGTGCCGGCTGCAGGCGGGTTCATCTTAAAAGTGCAGTATGATCCATTTTCAATCATCAATAACTTTTATGTTTGTTATCTCAAACGACTGCCAATGTAGATAGTGACCACTCTTCAACATTTCACACCTGTGAGTTTGTAAAGAAAGAATTATGCACATTGTCAGGTTGTAATTTCAACAGCTTTAAAAACCACCTCTCAGCTGTCCTGGACATCCTCTCACAGCTTTCACAGCTGTAGCACATTGTATGTTAGAGTACATGGAATTTATTGTTTTGTTTTTTTACTGTGGTATTGAATTTGGACTCGTGGAATTTCACTGGCATTGGCTCGACTTCCACAACAATTCATCCGATACTTGTCCAGATTTTTTCCAACCAAAGTGGTGGACCGACCGACCATCTGAGCGACTGACATGGCCATCCACAGACACCCAGCAGCAACACACAGAGCCGTTTCTTTGACCGTCATCTCGTTATTACCTTTACAGCATCTGGGACTTTACAACACAAAGGAGGAGCACATGGTGAGCATCAGCAAATCAGCATCACAAGATCTTTCAGCCTATGTACTGGAACAGTTTGATGTCCGGCAAACAAGATAGCAGCCGGCAGCAGACGACTCTCTGCGGCTGTTTGGGTCACTGTGTCTTTACCTTTTGATAACAGCAGCATATTATTCAGTCAGACAGAGAATAACAAGCGCAGATTTCACTTTTACATTCTTTCTTGCAGACTTCCTTGCTGTGGACGTGAATATTGTGTTAACTCGTTTGTTTATGCAGACAGACTAAATCACAGAGGATCAAAGCTTCACACAAACAGATTTAACAGGATAAAAACCTGAACCTGAGTGAACCCAGGAGCTCTGTTACTCTGAGAAACATGTGAAGGATCCAGACTCTAAACATCCCATTTTGTATTCCTCCTTTGAAAGACAACCATTGTTTAGTCATTTCATTATTAATGACTTTGGAAGATTTGATCAGAAGAGCTCTACAGAAGCTGTCGCCAAGGCCGGCTTCATGACCCGACGTACGCAACTACACGAATATACACAACATGAACCAAAGAGCAACATGCAGTTTGATTTTTCACACTCATTAAAAATAGAGAGCAGATTGTTTTATGCATAATGCAACACACGTCAGGGATAATAAGCTGCACAGCGGGAAACCGACTCGGTCAAAACCCAACAGGCACTTGTTTTTTTGTTTTTCTTCTTACGTCTCTGCTTCTCAGATGAGAAAAGTGAAGGTTGTTTAGGGTTTGGATCAAAGAGGCCGTGTGTGGAGTGTTTCTGGAGCCGATTCTTCTCCAACATGGCCACCTGAAACTACCGTTACCGCAAGAAAACGCTGACTTTGTCTGACCTCATCCAGTCCCAGTGGTGGACAGTAACTAAGAACTACATTTACTCAAGTATAATATTTGAGGTACCGGCACTTTTACAAATACAGCTGAAACAATTAGTCAGCTGACAGAAAATTAATTGGCAACTATTTGGATTGTTAAAACATTTCATGGTTCCAGCTTCAGACATGTGAAGATTTGCTGCTTTTCATTTTAATTATTTTAATTATTTAAATGTTTGTTAATAACGTTGAGCTGTGGACTGCTGGTCAGACAAAATAAAGCACTGTGAACGTGTCTCCTCGGGCGCCATTTCTCACTATTTTCAGAATTTTCACATTAAGTTGATTAATGGAGAAAAAAAATCAGCTGATGAATAAATAATGCAAATAATTATTCGCTGCAGTCCGTTACAAAATAGTTCAACAGCAGTAAAATCCTGCTTTACATTAATGCATGATTGCATAAGGTGAACATATGGTGCGCTGTAACGCAGCTTATGTTCAGCTGCTCCGCTGCTTTCCATTTTCTGCTCATGGCTCAGTTGTTGTTGTATATTTAATGGTGGTACTGTGTGTACTCTTAACTGTATTGTATTTTTAACGTGTGCTAATCATGTATTTCTGTTTCGGAGAAGTCAAAGACAAATTTCTACTAAGGTGGATAATAAAGTCTAATAAGAATAATCAGTGTTTCCCATTAATTAACGAGACTATGGCGGCCCGCTACGGTCTTTTCTGTTCCACCATAGTATAAAACTACAAAGTATAAACTATAACTATATTAACAAGACTTCTAACGTTGTGTTTTGTGGGAATTGCGCTGCTATAAACTCGCACGCACACACTTGAGACCACCACTTCACTTCTGAGGTAATTACGGTAACGTTAACTAAGGATTTGAACAGCGTTGAATGTTTCCACGGTCACTTGTTTGTGAGAACACGATCAAGCTAGCCGCTAAATTTAGAGTGCACAGGTCTTACAGCCTTTATGGTAAATGCAGTTAAAAGGAGCAGAGCGAGCTGACAGGCGGGGTTAGTGACTTTATTTTGTCATTTCGTCACAGTATGAGAGTCTTACCTGAAGAGAGGCCATTAAGGCTTAATTGTACGCAATACAAACGCAACACACAATATATATTATCAAATTTCATCAGACTTGGTGAATGTGCAGTAACAATAATAATAAATATCTAATGATAGAATATATAAAAGTACAACAGGGGACATTTTTCTGCTTTGAGTACTTTTACTTTTAATACCTGAAGAACATTTTCCTTATTGTTACTGTGTGGTATTACTACTTTGACTTCAGTATCTCAATCCTTCATTCACCACTGTCCTGTAAGTACACAGACCTGCTTATCAACATCCCAGATCAAGCGCTCGGCGGGTGGTCCGTGATCCGAGCGGTCAGCGCTAGACCCATGCGAGATGAGAGGACGCGGACTCTGTGTTTCACATCGATGACGCTCGGTGCTCAAACTCAGCCGAGATGGACTCTTGATTCCCAAATGTCAGACTTTTTAATGTGAAGATGAAACCACATTATCATCTGGTTGCTGCTGTTTACATTCTCTCCAGATGCAAATTCAAAAAATGCACTGCAGAATGTTCTGGGTGTTCACGTGTATGTACACAGACTTTGTATAGAAATAATAACTATTGTTTTATTTTTTTATGTGTTACCATATTTTAATACATGTTTAATTAAGCCATCTGTTTGGTTCTGTGTGTGTTGCATGTTTTCTTATACGACCTTGTGATGTATAATAACAAAGAACCTTGCAGAATATGATTGTAGAATTTGCTTCATAGTGAATTTACCGGTCCACCAGCAGAGGTGCACAGCTAGACAAGCTAGAAGTATGTTTTTCACTATGATAAAAAAAGACGACACGTGGACTCAAAAATGGCTTTTCAGCCTCTCTGTTTCTTATTTCCCACAACTCAACATGCTGTCAGGGTGCTGTGACCTCTGACCGCCTTGTTATCAGTAGTTTGTAAAGCTAGAGATCTAGAAATTGCAGCCTGCTCTCCTGTTGACCCTCAGGGACGTCTCTGAAGACAGGCAGCGTGAGGTTCTCTCTCTCTCTCTCTCTGACTGGAGGATTTGTTGAAACATCTCACCTGCATCGACGCTCCCTCCACTCGCGCCACGTAGGCGAATCGATCGAGGACGGTAACCGTGACGGGGACAGCGACGAAGAAGCCGCTGACAAACGCCCGCAGGCAACGCCGCCCCGCCTTCGCCTGCTGAGCCATCACCTAGACAGGAACCAACATAGAACAGGAAACCAACATCAGAACCGTGACGACACAGAGGAAACTAAACAGCCCTGAAGTTAGATTAGACTACATTAGATTAGACTTTATTGATCTCGGTGGGGAGAGCAGGCTGATGCAGCAGCAGCGCAATAGAAAACCAGAGAGGAAACAGATCAGAGGAAACACGGGACAAGAGGACAATTACAGCACGAGCATGTGTGAAACAAGTGAAATACGCTTACACAAATGATCAAGGGTACGGAAGCCCTAAGCGGCCGTACGTTCATACATTTCATCTACTCTGTTTTCAACTTCTGTAAACAAAACTTAGTTTTCCTGAGAGAACAACATAATAAATTAGGCAAGTAATTCAAGAGTGGTTGTGAGTGTGCTTCCTTAGCTCTGTCGGTTGACGCGGGATTCCTCATCTAATGTTTGTGTGTTCAATCTAGGGCTGGGCGATGTGGACCAAAAAGTCATATCCCAATACCGGTATAAAATATATATCGGCACGCTGTTAACATGTTGTTAATTTGACAATCTGTGTGCTTCAACTACGGATAACAGCTCTCTGGGAGCCTGTTTCGTTTCAGGCTACATTTCCCACATGGAGCATTTCAGGATAAGAGCGTTTTACCTGCCTGATTTTGTGAATTTGGTTAATTTGTTCAGCTGTTCTGTTTAACTGTGTTTATTGTGGATTTACAATCGGGGGTCTGCACAGGGTGTTTTATTTTGAATAATCGACCAGATTCTCTCTGCCGTTCTGTGTCTGACTTCCTGCCTGGTTCATCTGCTCTGCGCTGCTTGACGCGGCTTCCGTCAAAAACTAGACTGGCAGGGAATATTGAACTTTAGCTGAAATAAAATTGAAAAAAAATCGCAATTAGATTTCTTTCCCCAAATCTTTCAGCCCCACGAGAAAGCAAATAAAATTTACTCGTTATCACAGGAAAAGGTAGTAAACAAAATGTGTAAATGTTTGGCTGCTTAGGGCTTCCATACAAGGTTACACCCAGTGGTGACAATTACCTTTTTGGCTCACCTGCCAATGGGACTGATTGATAAAAAAATCCACCGGCCAAACATATTTTTTACCGGCCAAAATTATAAATTGTCACGTATACATCTGTTTCCGTCCTTTTAGTTGAGATAATAAGGTATTCTCTCAAATACAAACCTAAAGAAAACCAGATTGAAATTTGAAGCAAAAGTAATTTATTGCTATTAAATTAACTTCGGACATTATAGTAAATTGTTTTATAAACTTACAACGTGCTTATTAATCATTCAACTTAAACCTCCTCATTAAATCATTTTTTTCTGCTTCAGCCTCATTTGTGTTCTCTGTTCTACACGCTGCCACCGGCTTTAACGGAGGAGAACGTAGCAAACAGCGGGTATAAATAAACGGGAGATTTACGGGGAAATTTTAACGGGAGGATACCGTGAGAGAACAGTAAAATACGTGAGATGGTATGCACATTACAGTGGAAGCTAGCTAGCTAAATATCCTAAAAAAACTCTAGGTACTCCGAGCACGTCTTGATGGCTCCCAACTCCTATCCCCAAACGCCCACCCCCTTACAAATCTACGCCAATCAAACAAAAGAAACCTGAAAAGAACATAAACAACAACCACTGAACGCCCCTAATCCGTGTGTTACACGATTTTAGATCCCTGGGTACAGAGGGGACCAATTTAAGTGCGACACACAATAAAAAACAACGCTGTATGCTATCCGCTGTTAGCTACCGTCAAAAAGATATTATATGGCGATATTGTACCGAATATGTTTACCCGCCAATGTGGCGGGTAGCCTTCCAACATTTAGCCGCCAAATGGAAAATCTACCTGCATTTGGCGCTTGGCGGGTGTTAATTTCCAGCCCTGAGTACACCATATAGCAGCATAACACAATAGGTAATATAAATGGAGTTAAAAAAGCGCCCGACTTGGTCACAGTATTACAGATCTTTTTGGACTTCAAAATTATTTTGTGTGTTTCCTGCAAAAATAAAGTCTAAGGTAGAATTTTGACCAAGGTTTTTCAACCTTTCTTGACTTATGGTAACCTTTTTTAATATCTAAAGTCTCTCATAAGACTAAATGTTTGGGAGGTAGTACGTCTTTATGACATAAATTACTTATTTGTGTATCACTGTAGTGTTTTCCTGTGAGTGTTTGTTAACTAATTTAACAACTGAGATCCGATCACAGTCCTGCCACATGAAAATAATGTGAACACTTGTTAATACTAATACTGAGTGTAAATAGGCACCGTGCATCAGATGTCATTATCCAGATAATGCATCTTGATGAAAACCTGCTGGAGTCGAGGCCTGAAAGTTCATAAAACATCCTCACCACAAACGCTATATAGCTGCTGTTCTGGAGCTTTTTATCGTTTCACAGTTGTCAGTGAATTGTAGATGTTCACATTTACATTTTTCGGAGCACTCAGGCGGCTGTTTTTCAAGGTCAAGAATAATTTTCCGTCTGAATTTTTCAGCCAAGATTCCTTAAAGTGCTCTGGAGAAAAGATTTAATTTGAACATTACCAACTCCATCCAGGAAGATCTTGTGATACGATCAGAAGCTCCACAACAGCTATTAAATGGACCTTGTGGTCAGATCATCGGCTGTAGACACATTTCTTGGGATCTTGTCTGCATATCAGCTGACCAAGACCCTCGACCAAAGACCAGCGCAGCAAGTATGAGATTAACAGGAATCATATGTCCGTGAAGGCTCTTAATCATCCGGATCATAGTTATTCGAGGAAGGTTACAAGACGTTTTGCCTCTCATTCGAGGCGCTTCTTTATTTCTGGCTGGCTGATAGAGTCCCAGCTATTTAACCTCTGTGGGGTCGTTATCAAGCTGATGGATACGGTTTGGTTCGTACGTGCTGCAGGTCAGAGGCCGACTGATGTGGGTTTTACGGGTAAAGTGAAAAAGAGCCGATTTGTAAGCCGATATTTTGATTTTCAGAATGCAGGCCGATATTGAAAGCTGGGATGTATGTGGGCTATAAAACCTTGTCCTAAATGGATTATGTTAATAAAATAGATCGCAATTAGCCGATATTGGCCGATAATATCAGCCGGCTGATGTATCTACTCCTGGCTGTTATAACGACCATCGTAGACATTGTCACGAGGCCAAATGTGAGCGTTTGTTCACTCTCCTGGGAACAAACAGTTACATTTGGCCTTTGGTTTCTTCAAGTATCTTCAGCCAGTCCTTTAGCCTCTCTAGCATAAGAATCATAGAGCCTGTATGACCGATCACTCTGAATCAAAAGGAATTGTCCCATCAGTCAACACGTGTTGGAGCTTAATCACAACATGAGTCTGACTGACTACATCATGCAGGAACTCGACTGAAAAAGGAGTCGTCCTCCTGTCAAATTTCACCGCAGGTTTAGTGATTCACTGAAAACACATCCCACACTGAGCCTGCTCTCCCCCGACAGAATTTTTCATCCACTTTGCTTTTCACAGCGCGCTCCAGGAAGCCCAGACAGGCGTGAAATGACCGACCAGCCGGCGGCAGCGGCGGCAGCAGCGGCCATGCACCGATGCCTTCAGCAAACAGCTAACAGCCTCGTCTGGACGTCCACTGTCCTCACTATGGAGATGTGCTACAGTTATTACCTCCACATCACAAGACTTCAAATGAAACATCATCAAAAGCACACTGTCCTCCCTCAACGCTCTCCGAATCTGTAGTCGGGAAAGCAACTGTTACGGGGGGGAATAATGGAAGCTAATCTGTATGTCCCTTCACTACGATGTGATGTCTGTACACATGACTGCCAAGCATTTAAACAGACATAATGAACTGCTACACAATATGTGAATAAAAAGACATATTTAACTTTATTATGCTGAGGTACATTTCTTTGGGGGCCGATGCAGCGAGTACACAATGAGAAACATCAGGTACAGAAATACACAGAGAGAGAAAACAGATTCTTTGTCAGGTTTAGACAAATCTGTGCAGAAGTAAACAAGCCACCGAGGTCTCACCTTGCTTTAACCCTCTCACGCATGAGTTATTAAAAACATTATCTAGATTTCTTTAAAGACAGATGGTTAATTGTGTGGTTAAACTTTTCTTTGTGGTCAGAACGGGACAAACACTCGATGCCAAACAGTGGATCACTTCACAAGTCTGAGGTAGAACATTCAAAACTGATTTCAGTCCCTTTTCCTCAACAAAATAAATATCTTAATAGAAACATGAAGTGCTAATTTGCTCGTGATTCAAATGAATTCAATCAATTTACTGATGATGTATTGAACATTTGTTATATTGTTTTATTGCGCCGGCCCTACATCAGACAGAATTAAACGGTTGAAACGTGGACAAACATCATGTAGGCCTATAGAAAACATGCCACACAAGGCAAAGGTGGCGCTGAAAGGTTGAGGGAGAAATAAAAAGGCACAGTGCCTGAAGACAGTCGTGAGGACTCCTGCAGCAGGGCGGGTAGTGACTTGCAAATTTGCAATATAAATAAGATAAAAGAAGTCATTGGCACACTTTTCACCTTCCTTTTTTAAAACTGTACTTTTACTCTTTAGTCCAGTATTTTCTTTGGGACAATTTCGCTACATTTTCATTTACATTTGGCGCTGCGGAGAGCCTCCAGCTGCAGTAGTAAGCCTACAGGGATGATGCGTAATATTCACTCAGCCAGAGGGAACGATCACGAAGCGTTCACAGTGCGTTGGTCGTACTAGCGACACAAGCCGCACTGGAGAGGTCGCTGGATGAAGTCTGACGCTCCTGATTTCACGCATGGATCCATGAAAGAGAAATAGAGAAATGAATAGCAACAAAGCACACTGTTAATATTTTAGAGACCCACGAAATATCACAAATCATGCTTTTAGGGAAGCTGATGTCTTATCAACTCTCAGTTAATAACTAATCAATTTACTCTATATTTTAATTTCTAAAACATAAACCTGTTAACAACACTTTACTGT